AACAAATGAATGCATGCTGGTACACAATACTATGTTTCCTTGTTTTAATTCAAGTTGGTGAAATCAGAAAAAAAAGAAAGTAAAAAAATAAATGCAGTGGAAAACACTAATGTTATGACATTTCCTGTTTTTGCTGCATGTCTCCTGAGAAATTAATCAGATTCAGTTTTTGTGTCATTATGTTTTTTCTTCAAAACTCTAACCTAACCTCAATGTAAAAAAGGTCAATAAAACATGATTTTATTTCTGCCTTGTGGCATATACTCAAACTACACTGGATCAAAGCATGAATATTTCTCTGATAGAAGGTTAGCTCTGGGTTACAGACACAGTGTCCTCATTTTTTTTTTTCTTTGACTGGCACGGTGAAAACAATCTGAAAACAATCTTTGGAGCTCTCAGTACACACCGCATGAGTGAGACCTCCCGGCTAATGTCGCGAGCAGCACAAATTATGAGAGCCAATTTAATGGCACTCCCTAGTATTTATCATGCTGTTTTAAATGTTTTGCTCATTTGTTTCCATTAAATATTTCATCTTCCCTTAAATATTCATTTAACTTCCTCTTTAAATTTTTTACCAGTCTCTGTGCAGTTGCTATCTTCATGCCTCCCTTTTAGGCTTTGCAATCATAAATAATGATTCCTCTGCACCCAAAAAAATGATTGCATAGAACATGCAGAAAAATCCTTTTTGTCTTTTCTCATTAGTGATATACTTTGAGTAGCCTAAATACTTCCCGTAACTCCACTTGTGGAAATTGGTTGGAGAGTTCCCTTAATGATTCTGCTTTGCAAATATGATGCAGCCTATGTTTTTGTACCCAGCATCTATTCCTCCTTTCATGATAAAATGAAATGGCTGCTTATTATGTGCAGTTCCTGTGTTCCTGAGTTTTAAAAGCAAGGATTGTCCTTTATGTACCCTGAATTAGACAATGACACTTTAGCTTTCATTGTGAAAAAAGGTCCTTCTGATTTGCAACAATAGCTGTTTGTTGGCCCTTGGCTGTATAACTGAGCACAGAGGCTTATAATGAACAAAGCAACACTATAAAACAATGTTTTAATGTGTTTCTTTCGTTACAGTTCCACCGCCTTCTGTTTGAGAGGGGCGATGTAGTTGCATAAGTTAGTAGTTTTAACCTGGCCGGAAAAAAAATTACTTCTGAACTGTGAATTTTTATTTTTCAGAATTTGAATAGATGAGGCATTAGAATACAGCATGCATGTCAAAGAGAAGCATAAACTTTAATTTTTCCCCCCCGGATTATCTACTTTGTGATGAGGTTTAATGATCCAGCAGAGTAAATAGCAATGTGTTAATTAGAAATTATGCTGAATGATCCACAGCAAACATTGCTGGAAATAACCAGACAGCATAGATCTATAATATAATCTTTGCTTAGACTTTTTTTTTATTATTATTATTAACTGATGTCTGAAAATCAAATGAAACAAAATGTTCCTTAAAGGCCATACTGTTTTGGAAATTGTTCTTTATGGTGATATTTTGTTCCTGTTTCTTTATAGTGTAAACAATGTCTGTTGGATGACTGCAGGTATGTGCATCTTGGAATCAGGAGGAGAATAGGAAAATGTTGGTGTAATTATGATCAATGATGAAAGGACAGCATTAAAAGTAAGGATTTTCCTCTAGACCAAATAATTTTAGCAAGCTTTTGACTCCACCTAGTGGCGACATGAAAATTTGTTCTATTAAAATAAACGGATGAAGAAAGTGAGCTGAGAATGATATTTAAGGGTTCAGAATTCAAATAATATATTGCAAACACAAAGTAATTTATTCTAAAACAATTAAGTATCATGCTGAATCATCTTAAAGAAATGTTATAGAACTGGTTGGTTTCAGATGACCACATGGCCCATACTTGTATTTATCAGCAACACAATGGGCTTCATGAGACAAATATAAAATCATCTGAAATGCAGCGTGTATGGTTTAACAGTTTAATAAGCATTGAAGTTGCTTCATTACTGTAATGTTTCCACCAATTTAATTAAATAAAACGTTTGCTTTTACACCTAACATACTTTTCACAGGCCTGTTATATTTAGTATTTTCTTTATTCTTACTTTCAATTATGTATTTTCTCTGATGATCAGGTTTGTCTTTAAACCAAGACATCCGGCATTTTCAGGAGAAATTTAACAGCCTAATGTGCTTAACCTTTTTAGAATACTACTCCACTATAGGATACACACATCAATATAGAACTGGCCATATTTATTAGCAGATCTGGTACAGATATGAAACAAACTATAAATTAATTTCAGCTTAAAGACATATAGAAGTCAATTTCTTCTAGACACTGTTTGATGATCTGGAGAAGTTCCTATATTTATAAAGACCTCTCACAGTAAGAAGGTAGTTTAAAAAGTTTGTACCAAAGAAAACCTAGCAGATTGCAAGGAGTCATTGACTTTCAGCATTCACTCCTCCTGGTCCAGCAGGAGGCGACAGCAAATCGCTTCTGTTAAGTCATTGACTTTACAGCAATCCCTTATACCAAGCATACATGTAACGACAGTGGAAAGGAAAAACTCCCCTCTAACAGGATGAAACCTCCAGCAGAACCAGTACTGGGTTAAGTACCAGCAACCATGGGCGCCGGCAGGAATCTTGGGCCCCATGACAAAAAAAATAAATTGCCCCCCTCTGCTGTTACAATTTCTTGAGTTTATTTGACCTGTAAAAGCCATCAAATCTGAAAGGGTTTCAACTGCCTTGCTTTTACTAGCACAGTAAAATTGCTAGTAAAAGCGACTAGTGAACTTTACATGCAGCAGTCCACATGTTGCATGCAGATAGGTCGCTTACATTTTTTTAATTAGTTTTAGCTAATTGATATGTATCTCCCCACTAGCAACAGTCATAGACGACATGCCAAATGAAAATAAAGCAATCTAGACTTCTCAAAAAATTTTATGTTGTTGCATTTCATTCAAGCTGCAGTATATAACTATAATAAAAAATATGTTTTCTCCATATTTGTTAAAGTTGTCATGTCAGTTTATGAGACAGATAAAAACATCAGTCTTCTCTACCTCCTCCCTGAACTATTACTGCTAGCTAAAGTAATGCAATGTCCCAGTCAAAAACAATCAATCCGGACTAGGAGGAGGGTCTTCAAGCTGCCAATCAACCTCACTCACTGCTGTGCTTATGGCAGAGAAACAACTTACCTTTATAGGAAAACAGTTTATCTGCCATCATTCTATGCATTCACAACAGGCTGAGCTAGTTGCAGATAGCACAGAGCAATAGGAAGGGAAGATGAGCAGCCACTTGAGATTAAGGATTCCTTGAATGATTCGAGTACCTTGATTATTTAAATTCCTGGAGGAAAATGTGCCTGTCTCGAAGCTTTATTAATTTATGTTTTATTATTTATCGCACCGTGTTCCAGCTGCAACATTATTTGCATTAAGCGTAGCTCTCACTTCTCCCTCTGAGTTGTTGACGAAAGCTAAGTGTCAGCAACATAATGTCCAATTTTCAAGTTCGGTCCATGGGGATTTTATAGATTTATGATAATGCTGGGTTTTTGTCATTTTTGGGGGACCAATAAGCATCCTTAAAATGAATGGTGTGATGATCTATTTTTATGAACAACTACAAATAATAATAATAAATATTTTGTGAAGGAGCCCCTCTCAGGCAAGGGCCTTTGGAACTGTCCTAACGTTTTTTGTTTTTTTTTATCGTGGACGTAACGAGTCATATGTGAAAATGTAAGAAGTAGAAAGTACAGATTTTTTCTTAAAATGTAGGAAGTAAAAGTAAAAAGGCCTTAGAACGATAAATAAAAGTAAAAGTAAAGTACAAATACCTGAAAAATCTACTGAAGTACAAAAACAAAGTAGCCTACTTTTATTTTTTTACTTTACAACTCTTGCTTGGTCACACAGAAAATGTGTTTGGCCCGAATTAGAGAAGAGCACATAAGAGGTGTTGTGCAAAGAGGAGAGGTCAAAGATTTTCTCTGCAGGCTCCCACTTTATGAAAAGTATACTGTAAGGAACAATAAAGAGGTTTTCTGTTAACACAAGAGTTGTGCAAAGCATTGACAACTGGGATTTTGTTAAAGACAATATTTCAAGATGGAATTTTCCACCACTGAATATACTCATATACATTATAGTTTTATAAAGAAATTTTTCAGTGAAATTAACAATTATACCAAAAGTCAATTTGATATAATAGTCAAAGGCATTATGTTTCAATGCATTGTGGTTTGTTATAATGGTTTTCCACTGACAGCTAATGCAAACGCATTTGCATTATCACGTTAAGCCAGTAAAAACAGAAAATACAGAAATGTGGGCTTAATGACATGTATGTTTATTGTTACCTGCTTGATTATTATTTTCAAAAGATATTTTAAATCTGACAAACAAGCCCCATAATATTTTAATTTAGTCAATATAAGTGTACCGGTATGTTTTCCAAACGATATAGTTGTATAGTTTGCATTATTATTATTATTATTATTATATTATTATTATTATTATTATTATTATTATTATGCTCATCTTTATCTTGTGTACTGTAATTTGGCATGACATTTGATCTTTGTAAACACTGATAATCCATTATTTTATTCACAAAATGAATAACCCTTCTATGGAAGAGGATCCATTTTATGGATACTCTCCATAATATGACAGCAGGGGCTTCTTCTGACCTGTACAATAGACTGCTACTATTAGAGGTCGCTCCTGCCCAGAGTCATCTGTCATCACTTTGAAAAAATGTGTAAGTTATATTTCAGCTTGATCAGGTATTTTGGAATTCATACTAATATTGTAATTGAAACAAGGAGAGGCTGGTCTATTATATAAATAAAGCTGTACCTCTGAGTAAAAACAGAAGTAAGAAACTGTGTTTGTGGAAAGTGGAAGCAGAACCCCCCCAGCACCTCCCCCCACCCCCCTCTCTTCAACCCCGTCACAAATTTAATAAATGCCCACGCGCACATTATCCGTTTAACCGTCCATGGTTGCAACCGTATGTCGAGGAGCCTGGAACTTTGGCAAGTTCAACCTACCGCTATTTATTAATTTTCCTGAACAAATGAAGACCTGTGTAGAGTAGGCGGCTGAACATATATTCCGCTTAGAATTGACATTTGATCCAAAACTTAACTTTTATTAGGCGCAGCTACCTGCTAAGTTAGCTCTACGTAGCCGAAAAAGCTAACGTGACTAACGTTTGTTAACGTCCGCAATAGAGGGGAGAGCATTGTGACTTGGAGGAAGGAAGGAAACTTGATAAGCAGGATCACTGCGTACTGCTGCTTGTGCAAAGCTAGCACACTTTCAGACCCCCAGCTTCTTACTGTATCGCGTTCAGAAAAGGTGATCAAATCTAAGTACACGGTGTGATATTTCACACCGCTTAGCTTATTAGGTATGCTGATTTACAAACGTGTTAGCAACGCGTCGCTTGGCTAGTTTGCGGTTTCCTAGAGCTAGTCCGTTAGCAACAAACTTCTGAAAAAGTTGTTAACTCAGTTTGGCTTTTTGACTATCATAGGAAATATCAGAAAGAGTATTTTTTTTTCAATCGCGTCAGCACCAAGGGAACCTAATAACAGGACTCATGGCATCGGATGTGAAAGAAAGTGAAGCGGTGTTGAAGGGTGTAAGTGATACAAGTTCGAACAATAGCAACCAAGATTGTGTCACACCCAGCAGGACTGATGAGGATTTGGGAAACAGACAGACAACTAGTCTCTCGTCTTCCGGAGTGTCGAGAAAGGAGGGTGGACAGGATTTACAGGGTAGCCCGGCCTCAGCGTTGGAAAATCGCGAAAAATCTCGTCGAGAAAATGTGACCAAAACAAGAAGGACAACGCCAGGAAAAGTGCAGAAACAGTCTGGAGGAGGAAGCTCTGCCCCGGATAGCCTTCCCAAGGCGCATTCACCGCCAGGAGCATCAGGAAGGTGTGTATTTTGGGGATTTATTTAGGTGATTAAACTGTTAACAAGTGTGTAATTTCACATCGCATCAGAATTTAAATCAAAATAACTACTATGCATCTTTTTAAACGTTTTGGGAAATCTGTGCTTCTTTTTTATTTCTTTGTTTTTTAAAAGCTAGAAATTCTTCAATGGCAGTTTATCATGTCAGGTGTCTTGAAAGAAAACATTTCTGTCAGAGCGCAGATCCCATTTTAACGTACAAATTTTTCACCATTCTGCATGTTTGTTCCCAGATGAACTTCCCCTTTTTCATGCCATTGAAAATGTAACAAAAATAGAGAAATTATTTATAAAGAAAACAGATGTAGGAAGGCCTAAAGAATTCTCAGCATGATTTAAATTCCCAGGTTATGTAATTTATAACAAGCTGTATTTAAATTACTACTTAAAAGTTGAATGGAATTAAAGAAACAAATCCCTTTCTCAAATTACAGTTTACAGCAAAATGTTTATAGTGGAATCCCCTGTACTTCTCAGTTCAGCAGGTTTATTTCTTAGAAGGAGCAGTTCGTGATCATTTCTATGCAGTTTAAAATCATGCAAACTTAAAATCTTGCTTACTCAATATAAACAATGTTCACAGCTAAAAGTCGATAGAAATAAATTGATGAGAAGCATTGAAGCTCCGTGTGGTGATATTGGCTTGCAAATGATGTGTTTTTGCAGATTTTCTTAGTAATTTCAAATGCCTCTTCTATTGTAAGACCTCCCAGTACTGTGAAAGTGTATGAAATCACCCCGAGCATTTCTCCAAGTATTTTGCTCCCATTTAAAAAATTATATTATAAATATAAATTATAATATAAATATAAATTCAGGTCTCGTCCATATACACATGCATTTTCACTGAACTTCTACTACAGTTAAATCATAAGAATGCCATACTGCAGCAGAAATAATTTCAAACGATGAGATGCGGTTTGGATGAGATTCCCAACTGTATTTTTTGTTAAGTTGGGGTTGCGATTCTGTCTCAAAAAGCTTGTTGATTGCAGATGAATCAACAGTAAATGTAATCAGATTTAGATGAATTTATGCTATGTTTATTAGGGTGGTAACCTACACCTGTTGGGGTGCTGAGACCAGACTGCTTAAAGATAGCTGTAATTTAAATACAGCTATCTTTAAGCATGCAATAAAAATAAATTTAACAATGGCTTTATTTTTGGAAAAACTATTTTTTTTGTTTTGTTTGAGGAATTCTGTAATCTCCCCTGGCAACCATTCATAACAAATCACAGTTGGTGTTTTGAAGAATCTTAATTAATAGCATCAAATAATTCAGTGAGACTTTGACCAGTTCATATATTTTACAGTTTAAGATGAACCTAAAGGATTGAGTTGTCCAGAAAATGATGGGATTTTACATATGTGGGAACACTAAAAACTGCAAGAATGGTTTAGATCATTTCTATTCTACAGTTATCATTGTTTACAATATTTAATATTCACCACAGCTTTGTACTCGCATCACCTGCACCCTTGTAAGAAATCTGCATATTTTTTAAAATAAAATGTCAGATGTTCTGTGTGGGAAAGTAGACAGGCATTGGATTTCTACTGAAATCACAAAAACAGCACATTGGTGTGTGTGACATTTCACACAGACAACATCTTCACAGTTCAACTTCACATTTCCATATAAATTGACATCGTGTTGGGATTTGTGTGGCTTTATATAAACTCAGTGTTATGATTCAAGGTTTTTTTAACTTTCTAATTTTTTTGCAGTTCAGCTTCCTCATTTTGTGGAAGTAACTTACTATTAGTCTTTACACTTGGTCTGCAGTTTTCCTTTGAAGGAAGTAATTACCCTATTTCAGCTGTTGGCTTGTTTAGAGATAATTGACATTTCTAAACAGATGCCTAAATGGATTTATTCTGACATTAAATACCACATCTGTGGAATTTCTGTATAAGCACAAATGCATTTTTGTATTCTAAAGAGGTCCCTGTGTCACAGCAGCACAGATTCCACATTTATCATGAGTTCGGCGTATGGCTTATAAACTAAGCTCTTAGCAGAAGCTGGTAAGCTTTCAAACGGCAAAATACCCTATTAGGAGACGAGTTACAAGCTGATGTTTTTGACTTGAGGCTTAAACATGGGACTAAAAGTGTATTGTATGATGATTAGCCTCACAATGCGTCACATATGAGTATTACAGTGCTTTGTCATAAATATTTAGTGCTGTCGTTACTCTCCATGTATTACTTTGTATCAAATACATACACAAAGCTTTAGGAGCCTTCTAAATTAAACAGATCTTATGATTAACCTGCCTATGCACAGCAATAATTACTTGCATTTAAATTTTCAACTGTTTTATGCTTGTTATGCATAATAGGGAATCAGTTTAACATATCAATTTGATTTAAAAAGAAGCTATACAAAGTAGACCTTCAAACTCGCTAATTTTCTTTGAGACTATCACCAGAGACAGCTGTCATTGAGCCTGAAGGAAGGTTTGCTTTAACTTCGACTCCAGTGAAGGCTAAATTAGGTCAGTGTACTTGATGAAATGATTTTATCTTCAGGGCACCAGTGTCTTTAAACAGGGTCCCAGTGTCTGACTCAGTAACCCCCAAATGAACGGTGCCGTGGTGTTTTGGCAAATGAGTTCAACTTTAAGGCTTCCTGGCTCATCCCATTTAGACTGTATGCATCACCTTTAAAAAAATAACCAATTATGTGTTTACATTTTACAGATAATCTGTGGTGGCTCGCTCTTGAACTTTGCCCATTTTATTCTATAAACATCCTGTTTTTTAGCAATTAGATTCAGTTAACTATGAAATGTTGAATTTTTGTTTGTGTCCCTCCCTCCTCCTCCACAAGCAGCTTGGAGCGGCAAGAGTCAGTCGCCACTACAGAAGCTCGTTTGAGAATGGAAGGAGTTGAGCTGAAGGAAGAGTGGCAAGATGAAGACTTCCCACGGTACTGACATGCCCAAATGCAATATAGCTCAGTATAAAATGTATTGTGCATAGATGCTTTTGCACACATTATGGGCAAAACTGTGAAAATCATAAAGAACTGAAATTAAGATTAACTTATTTTTCATCAGGCCCCTCCCAGAGGAAGAGGAGCTTGATGAGTTTTTTTCTGGAACCTCTGAAGACAGAGACCCTGGTAATCATAACACACCAACACCTCATATTATTGTACAAATTAAAAAAATCTGAACTGTTTAAAATGTTTTTTCAGATGCTTTTCTGAATCTTAAAGTTAAATCCTTAGAGGACTCTTGAGTCTTACTTTAACCTTTTTCAGTTGTTTTTTTTTTTTTTTTTTTCCAAAATTATTATTGTTTTTTGCAATGATAATCCCTTATCATTGCATTAAAAATAAATAATTTTGTTTATTTTTAAAGTGGCTGCACATATAATAGAACTACTAACGGTTATTAACTATCCCAGGTTATGGAGAGAACCAAAGCAAGACGGCCAAGAAAAAGCTCTCTGCTCCAGACATGAGTTTGACTCTGGACCGCAGCGAAAGTTCTCTTCTCTCTGATGAGTTGGAGGAAATTACAGATCTAGATCTCGATGACATGGAGACGCCCTCAGACAACAGCAATGAATTTGAATGGGAAGGTAAAAACCATTGTGTTGGTTTTATTACTTTCTTGTAACACTGATTAATTTACTTTGCCTTACTAACAGAATGTCAAAGTAATCCCAGTAAACATAGTGATGGGAAAAAGTGATACATTCTTGGGAACATGCATGTATGGGCTGGGCGGTAAATCAATTTTAATTTTCAGTTTTTTGAAGATTTCATTTTTGAAAACAGTTTTTCCCTCTCCTTGATTTCCATAGTTCGGAGTGATGTCAGCCCAGCTTGGGTCTACCACCTGGTTTCACAGCTTTTATTTATTTAAACTTTGAATTCAGATCAACTCACAAAAGGAATAATAGAAATAAAAAACAGGTCTTGAAAATACTTTTGTAATTTTTTTAAAGAAAAAGCAAGAAAAGAATAAACTAAAATCGAATTTATTATGAAAAAAAATCAGATTTTATATTCAAGCTTCATCACCCAGCGTGTACATGCATGTGGAATCCTGTTATGAAAAGCTAGACTTCAGTTTAGAAATGAGAAGCTGCCTGGTCTTGTTTTACTAAACTTGGTCTCTAAACATTATACTTCATGGACTTTTTAGGGTTTTTTGGTAGCTTACCTCCTCAACTCTGTTTAAAATGCTGTTTGTTGTTCTTGTTCCCACATTGCTGCATTCCTCTTTCTCACTTGGAAGAGTTGTTTCCTATGTCTGCCTGGAAACAGGCTGCAGTCCAACTGCAGGTTTTTGTCTTCTTGTGGTAAGAGTTCTTGGACAGTCTTCAGTGATTTTTTTTATTTTTTTTACAAACCACAAGTCAATCAAATCCTTTATCCCAATCATCTTTTCACTTGTTTGAATGGATTTTCTCCCACATGTTATGTTTCTTGCTTTTATTTTGATCATTTTCTATGGTACTAATGACAGTTTATCACTTCAGAAATGGTTTATTTTCAATATATTCACTATTTTATGGTTTTTCTCTTTTTAAGGACTTGGATTTGATTGTAAATAAATTCTGTAGATGTTACAATAAAAAATGCTTTTCTCTTACTGGAAAATATGGACCAGATAAGGAGAATGCAAATCAAACTGAAATCTAAAATTTGGTGTATATTGCAAATGTGCTTACTGTATAAACATCCCCATATAAGTGTTTCAGTTGAATTTATTTGTGTAGTTTGACTTTGATCATCCTAATACTTGTCTTAATATTGAAACACTGTACAGCAATAGATGTACAAAATACACACAGAAGTTCCTTGGGTATTTCTGGGAAGAATAGCTTAGTGCAACTAGGAGTTTACATACATTTATATTGGAATAAATTTGTTTGCACTGTCTGAAATTAAATCAGACAGAACAGGTTTATCACGATAACTTTTGCTGGACAATAAATTGTCCCACAAGTTATTACAATTAACAACAAAGTTTTGAGTTGCAAGTAATTGTTTATGGCATAGAAATGCCAGCACACCCTCTGAAACATCAATAAACTTTAATTTTCAAAAATAATTTAAACCTGCAACTTGGTTAGGATTTTTTTTTTTAGATTTAGCAACCAAAACAACACATGAAATGGGTTACTGAAGTCTCTGAATAAAAAAAAAAGGTTTGATATTCCTGCCATTGACCTCTCAGTAGTTTGTAGTGATTTTGGCTCATTCTTCCCAACAGACCGGCTGTAACTGAGTCAGGTATGCAGACAGCTGTGCTAATACACACTCTTCATATGCTGCCCACAAATTTTCTATGAAACTAAGATTTCGACTTTGCTATGGGCCCTCCAAATATCACTTTATAATTACAGTGATCGTAGTGAAAGAAAATATGTAGTTTGCTTTTCTACAGAGTATGTAAATTTTTTATTTAGTGTTTGTTAATTTTAGTTGTCATGTGATGTTTTTTATGAAAAAAATGCAGGTTTTTTTTTCTTCCTAATGAAAGGCCTAGAAAGAGATAATGAACCACAGTTGTGATTGTTGGATTTTAATTTGAGAGCAAAGCATGCTGTCAAGATACAGATGATCTCAACTGGATGTAATTGGAGCATGAGGAAATAATCTAAAGATTTGAATGTATATTTGATAAAAAATGCTCTGATTTTAATCGCACAAATCATTTGATGGCTTAATTTATTTGCTAAAATATATATTCAGATTATTATTTGTTTTTCATTCAGATGATCTTCCTAAGCCAAAAACCACAGAAATACTACAGAAAACTGTCGATTCGGTCCAGGAATATTCAGCCTCAGAGGAGCGTGAAGAAGGACGCCGATGGAGGATTTTCCGTATTGGAGATCAAGATCACAGAGTGGACATGAAAGCCATAGAACCTTACAAGAAAGTCATCAGCCACGGAGGTCAGTATAATCTTACTGCCTTGCACAAAAACACAATGACTTGAGTTTAATGGTTTTAGGATTCCAAATTTTCTTACTTTAAAGAAACCCTTATAAATGTTTGATATGTTTGCAGGTTATTATGGAGATGGTTTGAATGCCATCATTGTGTTTGCTGTTTGCTTCATGCCTGAGAGCGGTCAACCAAACTACAGATACATCATGGATAATTTATTTAAGTACGAGTCTGTGCAAATTAATTGGGATCTTACTGCCAGCATTTGAAACAATTACTTGACGTGTGATTTCTTCTCCAGGTATGTCATTGGCACACTGGAGCTGCTGGTTGCTGAGAATTACATGATTGTGTATTTGAATGGAGCAACGTCTCGGAAAAAGATGCCAGCTGTTAGCTGGCTCAGAAAGTGCTACCAGCAGATCGATCGCAGGTAATTCAGCACAACTCTGTAAAAGACGCTATTGTCATAGTTAGAATAGAGATGTCACCACTTTCGTTTAGTCCAATCGGGAGACCATGGTTGACCTTAACCTCTGATTGGTCTCTTCGTATAGGTTACGTAAAAACCTAAAATCGCTGATAATTGTCCACCCCTCTTGGTTCATTCGTACCCTGCTGGCACTCACAAAACCCTTCATAAGGTATGTTGCGGGTATAAGTATTTGGAAAATTGAAATGATGTAGGCAAAAATATTTATATTGTGCCATTTCTGTTTCCTGATGCAGCTCCAAGTTTTCTCAGAAAGTCAAGTATGTGTACAGCTTGAAAGACCTTGCTGAGCTTGTCCCTATGGAGTACGTGGCTATACCAGAATGTATCAAACAGTGAGTTTTCGACACATGAACACCATTTGGTTGAGGTTTTCCAGTTACATTTATAGCTGTATTACGGTTGAATTTTCACTCTGTTTTCAGTAGAAAAAGAATATAGGAGAGGGTATGAGCTGCCAAATCTTCAACAGTTGCTTGAAGATGTCTAAGGATACCCTCTGCACAAATAATGGCCTCTTGGCTGCTTCTCTCAATATTGCTCTCCTCCACAAGTTTCTCCCTGACTTTTCTGATGTGGTCATTGGTCTTCATGATGCTGTTTGATAAACACTATAAGATAATCCAGCTGTATTTATACCGAGATCAAAGTAGATAAGACTGGTTCTGTTTCTGGTAAGTCCTCTTGTGAAGGATTTTATTTTGCGTTATAGACATGCAGAGTAAACCTTCAACTTTATTTGATAAAAGAAAATCATAAATTGTTTCCGTTCTCTTAAAAATCACAACTTTGTGTTGCTCTATCACATAAAACTCAACGAGGTTTGTAATCATTGAATGAAAAAAGTGGAAGAAGGCAGCTGTATTTGCACCGCCAATACATTGTTGAATTGCATTTTGTTTGTTTGCTACAAAGCCAGACACAACATCAGCATGTCCTAGTCGCTCAAAGGCGATGTCCTACTGCTTCCTAAGTGTTGAATTTCTGTTTCTTTTTGCTACACTGTTACATTCTTCTTTGTAGTCATCACTCACTTTTATACTCTCCTCAGACTTTGAGTAAGACTGTCTAGTTCATTTTTTTTATATGTTGTAAGATATTAAAAAAGATGGAACTAAGCTATGATTAAAAGCACTTTTAGCCTGCACCAGTTATCAATATGTTTTTTTATGTCAACAATTAGCTGGTTCCACTTCAGTTTACAAGGATTGTTGTCGGATGCAGATAATTGAAAAGTCATCTTTGGCAGAAATGTAGATATTGGATTCAAATTAGAGCAAGCATTTAGTTCACAGGATTTTTTCGCACCATGAATACATCTAAGCCCTATCTAACAGGTTAGATCTGTGCTAAGGCTTTTTAGATCTTGGGAAAAAATATATATATATAATATAAATACATAATGTGTGTGTATACAGTAGGAAAGATATTTGTAAAGTATTGTGAAAAGATGAAACGAACATCATCTTCATGTTATTTGTTTCCATTCTTTTAAAAAGATACTGCTCAAACCTTCAGAGAATCTCTTAACATTCTACACATTTTGATCTGTTGTTGGTGTTGGTTGTCTACATTTTCTATGCTTAAACCAGTTTTCCTGCCCCTCTTAAGGTTTGACGCCGAAAAAAATAGGAAAAGGAATAAAAGGTATTTGCACTTTGACCAAGGGTCAGTTTCTGCATCCTTTTGTATTTTGTGACACTAACAATGAAGAGATCAGGTAGCTTGCAGAAACACACCAAGGCACCTATTCTCTTAAAGAAAAGACAATCTCCTCTGCAAATCTCAACTGATGTGATTTAAATTCCAAGTAAACAGACCGAATGACTGCCTGCTCATTAAAATAGGTGGCTTGGTGAATGTTTAACCAGCAAAATTCTTGTCTGAGCCAGCAATGTAAAGTTAGCAGCATCATTTTATTCTGCATAGTTTAAAATATTTACATTTTGTGCAAGGCTTTTTGTATTTCAGAATGTGCACTTTCTTACCCAGTTCAGAAAACAATGTGACAACTTTAAACAGTTTATATGAAAATAACTGCACAGATTGTCTTGATGTCACACTTACTGGCACTTATTTCATGTTTAAATAAAAAAACAAAAAAAAAAACGCCCGAAAACCAAACAGGTTTAGAGTTGCTGCAGTTTCTATTTGGTAAGTTTTTTTTATTTTTTTTTTATTTATTTTTTTGTCTAAGTTAGTGCCACAAGGAACTAGTTTGTCCCCGTCATTGTGGTGCTTGTGGTTGCACTGTTGCACATTAACCGTGTCCTCACATGGTTGTCAGTAAGTGGCCCTCACTGAACGCCCAGCTTGTTCACGCTCACAGCTTTCTGCATGACTCACTCCCTGCACCCCTGCTCCCCACTGATGTTTTGGTAAATAGATCGTTTGTCAGCTTTCCTCTTGCACTCGGAAATGTACCGCTCTTTCCTGATAAGTGATTAATGTTCAGCTGCTGCTCTGATTGGTATGACTGATTGAAAAGTATAAAATTATTTTAACTGTGAAGGACAGAGGAGTTTTCAGTTTATAATCTGTTGAAACAAAAGTTCTTGTGAGGAGTTGCACACTACAAACTTCTTGACATTAAGATTAACAGTTCATTCTTCTTAATCTAGAAATATTAAGGACTTATCCATATTTCTCCAATTCCTTCATTTTCCATTACTTTGAAAATGACCACCTCTATCAAAAAACTTGCAGCTTAGTTCTTTTTTTTAATTTTTTTATTTGGAGTGAAATTGTGAGAACATGTCCAAATCTAAATCAGTAGGTCAGACCTCAATCGAAATTGGCCTGATTGGTAAAATTACAGTTAAAATCCATTTGAAACGCATAAAGTGCATTGATTTGATTTACCACACTTTCCAATAAGCTGAAAGATGGATATCCAGTAAATGCACATATTTGTCCTTAAAGGATATTTGTGTGTTCTCAAAGAAAATTAAAAACATTGTCGTGTACACTTGGCATTAACAACTGAATCTGACTTCTGAATGTTTCTGCAGAGTTGACCAGGAAATATCCGGGAAGGTGGAGATGGCTGCTGCTGCTGTTCCTGAGTGACCACTTCACAGCGCCTCATGAGGAGGAGTCTCAATCTCTTAACTTCTGTCCTCATGTTTATGTTCTGCTCAGTTGCAGGAGAATTTGTTTGCACCTAGAGTGCATTTTTTAATCTATGCTGTTTGTTACATTTTCAGACATTTTGGTGTATCTATTTCTTGTTTATCAAACAACCTAACCCTTATAACTTTGCCCACATTTGCTGTTTGAAAAATTGTATTTTGCTTTTATTTAGTCCCCTATGTGAAGCCAAGCCTGTCTTCGGTTTCTTAGTTAAATCCTCACTATTTAACACTTTGTTGCAAGTGGTTGCTGCATGTTCTTCTTTGTTACATTGAAATATATATTTATATACAAGGTGTTAGAGATAAATTTAATATATTTTTATGAACTGATTTTTAAACTGAAATTTATAGGTGTCAAACTCACAGAGTGGCATTTTATGTAAAGTGTTGGCAGCACCTTTTCCACTGTTCATTGCTGATGTTCTGTTAAAATTTCACCTGGGGAAAATAAAGGTTGTTTTTTTTTTTGATGCCTCTCACTGGGATGTTGTTTCTGATTAAATATCCATGTATACCGGGTTTGTGGAAAATCAAGACATAAATTTGTCATAAAAGGTGTTACATTTTATGGAGGTATGTTGTAAGATATTGTTTGATGTTGTTTAATGCTTATTCTGTCAACTTATTACATTTAACCTGATTCTTCTTGAAGTGGTCAAGAAGCAATTAGAGACCGTCTTAATCGTACATTATCCACTTTTAGCTCATAGCTTATAAATGGGACTTTTTCTAAGAACAGATTTTAACTAACAAATCTATCCAAGCCCCAATTATTATTGTTAATATATGAAGTAAGAAGACAGTGATGTGGTTACCTTCTTGTGCCCAGCTTGCGTGCTAGGGACTAAATGTCAGCTTATGAAATCAGCGTTATAAACTGTTAAAGGTGATTTTTATCATTCATATAGGACTTAAATGTATTAGAAGAAAAAAAAAGTTAAAAACTGTATTCTTACGTAGTTGTAAAATTCCAAAAATGTTTACTACTTAGAAGATTCTTGTAATTATTACCAAAAAATTAAATCACAAAACATACAGATTTTATTGAAATCAAAGATTTAGAGCATTGTATATGAAACAGAATAACATTGACACAAAGTTAAAAAAATATGTACACTTGTGCACTGCTAATATGCTTTCAGCAGGAAGTAATTGTGTTTTATTTGCCTACAAGACAAATTTGCACATCAAACACATTACAGATAACATTACAACTGTAATAAAACAAGTTATTTTAACAGTAATTTAAAAAAAAGTAACATTTTATTTTAGACATTTCACTGGTAATACCGACCTTGAACGTTTACTCGTGGATCATCACACTGTGAGAATCTTAAACCAGCTTATACCTGGTTTAAAGCTGCTCCATTTGAAAAGAAAAGCTATATACATTTTAGATTCTACAACAGATTTGGATATTGCAGAGAATCCAGGAAGTTATGACCCAAAGCTTTGAAACGCAGAACTGACTCCAAACACCTGATAGAAATGTCATCAACTTCTGGGTCAAACTTATTTGCAAAGAGTTGCTGCTGTCTCAGGAGCCACAGGAGGTCGCCGGCGCCGAACACACACACAGCTCTCCTGTAGGCCCCCGTGCATGGATAGTACGGAGCTCCTTTTTTCACGTCTCCTGCTAAATAAGACCACTTGACAACTCGGGCGAGAGCCATCATGTCCGATGTGTCATATTTGCCGTTTGGGGGCATTGATCCAGGAACCGAGGACATTCTCTGCAGGGTGGCCCACATGTGCTCGTCTGGACTGTATGTGTCTTTTTCCCACTCCATAAATTTCTGAACCTCTCCGTTCTGCATCACGTATTTCACAAAGGCCCTTGAGACCACAAAGTAGGCGTTTCCTGAGAACATTGGGCTGCTAATGGGTGGCGGGCTTTTTCTCATGTCTGTTCTGATGACGCCGTTGGAGACATTGTGGTGGTACTGCCAGCGCATTTTCTTGGAGACACTGGTGGCTTCAGTTTCCATGCTGTTCCTCCCATTGAGGACTTTCAGAACCATCACCATCTCCCTGTTGGTTTTAATGGGAAAGTCTGTCCCACAGGTATTCAACAGGTATCTCCATTGAACATCAGAGTGCAGCAGATCTCTCATGCAGTTCAGATCTGCCTGTACTCTGGACCATGAAGCATACACAACACGTTCTAATTTACTGGCTACAAAAACATTGGGAAAGCAGGAAACTATTTCCTTCACAGCCTTGTGAAAAGACAGGGAAGACTTCTGGTCAATATGGACACAGTAGATGTTCTGTGGAGCATAAATAGATCGTAGGAGTCGTTCAAACATCTCAATCTTCTCGTGTATCACTATGGAGTATGCAATGGGAAAATTTTGCTCCTCCTCACTTAAAGGCACTTTAACAAAACCTCTATTCTCAATGTAAGCTGCACAATCCTTAGTTGCATTAATGTAGAAATTCTCAGAAAGAGTTGTTTTCCTTCTCCTGGATTGTAGAAGCTCTTCTACTTCAGCCTTGGTACCCTCTACATCTCCAGTGATGATGGCTAAACAGGCAGGCAGGTCAGCGGAAAACTGCTCCGGGATATGAAATTGAGAGGGCGAACTTCTATCAATGATGGTTTTCCAAAAAACAAAGGAAAAGAACAAAAAAGCCAAGCTGCAAAAGGCCCACAAAGACGTCCATCTTCTCTGGAGCTTTGTGTAAGTCATTTCTTTGTTCAGAGGCGACAGGGCAGGTGAGCTCTCATCAATGCAGTTTTTCAGTTTGAAGGTGGTGCATAATCATCTCTTTATTTATGCAGGTGTGGAAGTGTGTCCAATAAGATGTAAGGGGGCGGACTGACTAAAGCAACATTCTTATCGATGATAAAATATTGTTCCATTGCTTGAATGAAGGCAGAATTTCTGAGGAGGTTGATGTATACTTTTTTGTAGTTGTCTTAGGAGTGTCAGAACACTCCCTTAGACAAATACAAAACATCGCGACAGTTCTGGCTGTACCGATTGTGGCCGGCTCACTAACTGTCCGAAATGCAACAGTACTGGAAAGCCTTGTGTGATGGGAACCTCAATATTGAAGAGCAGCTGTTTTATTAATTTCAATGTTGCATTTAATAATTGCTTTTCCAGGGTGGAATTATTCTACAACATAAAATTTCAGTGCATTTTGAAAAAAAAATTGGATGTACAAGTTTGGATTTATTGGGGATTTTTTCCTCATGTACACAGTGCAGAAATATTTACATGCACACACAATAAAATTTCTTTAAATGACCCTCAACAGGTTGCACTTTTACCAAACCCCTTTTATATCATTACCAAGCTTTCTGCACAGACTACAACATGCATTATGACAGTATATGTAAATATTTGTGGGAGTGTAAGAGATTACATTTGATACTCTGCGGAGTAGAGAAATTCCACCACAAATTCAAACTTGTGCAGGCAGCTCTTGTTTTAAAACTTATTTTAACTTTAAACAAAATCATGTTCAAATAATCATTAAAAGTCTCAAACTAGCACTATGATTACATGTAAACATCTGTAAATGGATCTCCATGTCTTTCTAAACATAAACTAAACTACTTTTTCAAACCAAACTTTACAGGTGTAATCAGTCAGCGACAGTTCACCTTGGCATGGATGCATCTAAGACCGATTTCCGATGACACCTTGGTCTGCGTCTGTGTCCTGCTCAAGGATGAAGCTGTAGCGTCTATAAGCTGATCCACCTTGGCTGGTGTAAACCACATCTACCTCATCACCGCTGTCAGGCTCGGGCACGCCGTGCGGCATGTTGATGCCACCGCTCTCACTCAGTCTCTCGTAACTTCGGCTCCAGCAAAGCCTCCTCCTGGCGTGCGTCTTAACCAAGGCAAAGACCGCCAGGGCCAGACCGGCTGCCAGTAGCAGGGCAACAGGGAGAAGAGGAGAAGTGTGCTTCGCAGCCCGCGAGGACATATTTGTGTCCAACTCCTTGTGACCTCCAGACCTGGAGAGAGGAGCCTCCACACAAAGAGCTAGGGAAGAGAAAAAAGATAACACTAATCCTGTTTTTTTTTTTTTCAACATCAAAACAATCCTGAAATGCTTTGGGTGGCTGGCATGTTTACCTGAGCGAGTGTCACAAACACAGCAGTTGGTGTGATTCCCTGCAGCCTGACAGCAGTGGGAGCAACGGTTCTCTACAGCATGGAGGGCGAAGTCTGGGTGACAGGTCAGACACTGGTCAGGTCTGGGGCCGACGCAGTGCCTGCAGGAGCTGTCACAGAGCTCGCAGGTTTCCTACCAAATAGCAGCATGCATCATTGCACAGCACTACAGAGCAATACACTGAAAGGAGAGCAGAGTGGTTCAATAACTACTAGTCACTTCTTTCATTCCCCTTAAACATGTCCATCTTTTGTCACATAATTGTCAAAAGCCTTTTGGGGTTTGATCAAACCCATTCCAGTTTAACTCTGTATGTTTTGGGATATGATCCTGCTGGAAAATGAAAGTCTTTCCCCGCCATAAGTGTTTACAGTCTCTTAAATGATTTCCTCCAAGAATGCAGTGTACATTAGAGTGCCATCCATCTTCTTGTCAACTCTGACCAGCTTCGCTGTACACACAAAGCCACAAAGAAGAGAAACATCCCCACAGCATGATGTTGCCACTGCTACATTTGAGTGCAGAGGATGGTTTATGTTTATGTTTCAGACACACATCTCCTATGTAGGCCAGAAATACTTGAGGTCTCATCATATAAGAGAACCTTCAAACCTTCACAGAATATCTATTTATATTATCATTTAACTTCATACAAAAAAGTAAAACAATGTGTTGTTTCCAGTACTTTGTTGTTGTTTATCACATTAAATGCCAATGAAATAAAATTATTTATCAAAGCTAATAAATAATACTTTTGCAAGAAACTGCAGATTTACTGTACAGTACTGTTATTTTCTTTTAATCCTACAGATTCATGCTTATATTTTTGCATCTTGCACCAAACAAAATTTGAACAAGACATATTTTCTCTGTTCAGGGAGAAACGTAATATTGAGCAGTCTTACAGAGTAATTCTGATCATTGTAAATATGAGCTCACCATTTCTGAAAAGTACTGCCCCTCCTCACAGCGTGGGTAGCAGACACTGTCCTTCAGAGTGCTACCCCTGTCACACATCAGGCAGCCTTGAGGTGAGGAGTCTGAAATTACGCGTACACTGTATAACTAATCTGAAAATCTTATGTAAATGGTGAAAATTTACTTACAAATATAGACATTAAAAAGACAAACTCGATTCGACAATACAGCCTATTGTTCACTCGAACAGGAACTAAGAAATGCTACAGCTGGAGATGTCTGTACCTGTGCAGGCCTGACAGCTGGTATGGCACTGTTTGCAGAGGTCATTGACCTGATAGAAGCGGTGCGGGCAGCGTTCGACACACAGCTTGGTGCCTTGCAGCTCCAGGAGAGGAGGGAGACAGGCCCGGCAGGACTCTGGCCCTGGGCCTGTGCACAACTCGCAGGATGGGTCACATTTTTGGCAGCGAGAGCCCTGTTTGTAATACCTGAAGAAACACATAAATGATAAATGGATAATCTGATTAAAAGAAACACTTTTCATCAAAAAGTAATTTGATATGTGTCAGATTATGTGCGCAACAGAGAACCAGATGAATTAGGATCAACTTGGCTCTATATGTAGGAGTCCATCGGATACCCAGTGATATCAGCATGTAGCTTATCACCATCAGTGTGTTAGTGTGAAGTGCTTTCTAGTCCTCTGGATTGGATAAAGAGCTATACAAGTAAAAGTCACTCAGTCAAAATTACATTCTAAGAATTTGACTTCCAAATCAGATACAAGCTGTGATATTTGGATCATAGCCTTTAAGTGAACATTAAAAACAATCAGGTCGGGCTTCAGTTTTGTACCCAGTGGGGCAGTGGAGGACGCAGAGCTGGAAGAGCCGCAGGTATCCAACAGAGCATGTCAGGCAGTCTCGAGGCGACGCCCCAGTGCAGCTGGAGCAAACGTGGTCACAAGGCAAACAGAATCCCAGCTCCCGTCCGTCAGCTTTCTGTCTTGTGGAGTAGGTAGCAGCAGGACATTCATCCACACAGCTGCTGTCTGGAGGGAAAAATAAAGAATATCGGATGCCAGCTCACAAATTTGAATCATTTCTTTATGTTTTTATCCTTTACTGCAATAGAAATTTAGAAAAAGAAATGTAATTAAAAATAAATTAAACGATACAGTACATACTATGCTGACAATGTTATCACATTTGTATACCACTTCTCTCCCACTAATCTGAGATCAACTCTCCCTCTCTTGATTTCCTTCCAATCTCATTTGTCCATCCTGACGGCAAATTTGTTTCTAATAAACTCATTGCAAGGCATTTTCTTTTTAGAAATTATGTTCTTGGGTTGTGTCCTCATAGTGTTTCCTTTGGTTGGTAGTCAGGAAGAATCCATTAAGATCTCAACAAAATAGAATATCAGCAAAAAAAGAAATTTGTTTTTATAATGTAATTCAATAAGTAACACGATACATTGCACACAGTGATGTATTTCAAATATTTGCTTCTGGTTATTTTGATAATTCTGGCTTCAAGCTTATAAGAGTCTGAAGTCAATTGATATCCCTGTAAAAGGAAATCTGAAGTGTTCAAAAGTATCTAGGCAGATAGCTGTGATGCTGACAGAAACAACACCAGCAGATGACAGCTTCGCAAAGCATCACTGACCAAATGAAATGCAAATTAAATTTAATCTGAACAGAGTTTTTTTTTTTTTTTTTTTTTTCCACTGAGCAACACTCCAGGTAAGATGCTTCTGTCATCTCTGAGTGGTTATCACAAGCACAAACCCCAGCTCCAGTCCACACCTCGTGAATATTCCCCAAACTCTTGAATGGACTTTGCTGCACAATCCTTTTAAGGCTGGTGCTTGTGTATCTACTATCTACACACTTTGTCCTTCCACTCAATTTTTAATTTATATTGTGGGATACAGCGCACTGTGACCACAGGGCTTCTTTAGTAATTACTGTACTTGTCAATTGCCAAGTCAGCAGTCTTCCCATGATTGTTCCAGACCTAGAATAACCTTTCTGCATTAAAAATTCTTCATTTTCGGTCTTATGTAATTAGATTTTTTTCTGAGGGTTCTGAATTTATAATGTTGAATCCTGTATGATTAAAAAACATTTCAAAACCAAGTCAGTTTTCAAAGTTAAGTAGAACAAAACTTTCAGTATAACATTATGATGTTATTAAGCCAAATGCAGAACGTCAGTGTGAAAATCTACACATAGCCTTGGAGCTATTGTCGACCTATCAAATGTAAATAGAAGCTAAGTTCATTGGAAATTGCATGCATGTCACATCTAAGTTTTATTTGTTGTGTAAATAATTTGTTCATTTGCACAACTCAGCCTATTTGCGTATTGAGCAAATAAGCTGAGTTGGTTTGAGGTTAGCTAAAAGTTTTGACAGATTAAGTGATCAGTTTCAGTTTGGACTGAAACTGATCACTTCAGTCCAACTGATTAGTTTTGGGTAATTTAATTGTGTCTGACAAAATGAGGAAATGTAATGTGTATATGTTTAATCTCTTCAGCAGAGAATGACCCACCTGCAGTGAAGTAAAACATTTTCTACAAACAACATGGTAGCTCAGCTTAAGTTCACAAAGATGTTCTTGGAAAAACATATTTGTTATTTCAGGAAGATCTGAAGTGGGAAGTCTTGTGGGACTTCCCCTTTATTTAATTTTCATCAGAAAATTAAATAAAGGGCATTCTCCCGTAACAGCAGTAATGTTAGAGCAGAAGATTTGTATCTGGTTTCTATGTAAGCGTATTGCTGTCACGGAAGAAAATATATTTTTGAAGACCATCACATTGTAAAATGATAATTATATTGCACAAATGTTATATTGTGCAAACATGACAATTATCTTGAATAAACGTGATAATATTGAAAAATGTATTATTTTCACCCAGATGGTGTCTTTTCAGTGCTTTTATTGCAGAGTAATGGGTAGTATAATGAGTAATTTACAAGTCTTGCTCAAGTTTTACTACAATCTTAATCTAAAACATGGACAGATACTCACAATGTGATACTGCTGCACATTGTGGATGAAATCATTGTTTGTACGCAAATTCTGAGAAGGATCTTAAACAAACAGAAACCACAGCTGCCCTGTGGTGGTCTGACAGAAGTGAGGCTGTCATGCCAGCAGGCACCACCAGGCCCTCTGATCATCACCAGCAATTCAAGGCGGGTTAAGTAGGAGAGTCGGGTTCAAACCAGCAATCTGCTGATTGCAGCGTAAACTCGTCCCACCGATACCACCATTGCCCCAAATACCGTAATACTATAATTCAAAATTAATTAGAACCCTACAAACCCATTACATCACCATCTGGACTATTGCAACAATGTTTATCACAGTGTATCTAAATGTAGCAACCTCAACTGATCAGAAGTGATCAGTTACTTCTTGGTTATTTGAGAATCTCAACATTGGTGGAAAACACTCACTATGAAGGTATCTGGGGACAGCACAGGTCAGACATTCATCACTGCCAGGGCCCTGACAGGAGTAACAGTGCTTGTGGCAGCCCATGCAAGTGAACTGGTTGTCGTGGAGGTATGTTCTCATCGGGCACGCCTCGTCTCCTGTGACGCCACACAGTAAGGTGCTGGGATCCAGCACCAGTCCCCTCTCGCACTGGGTGCACTGGTTTGGGTCTGGACCACTGCAGCTCATACAAGTCTGGTGGCACTCTGCAGATACATAACCAAGTTAGTGTGTACTGGTGAAATATCATAACTGCTTTTCCATAAGAAAGAGGAAGTAAGAACCTTTGTGGCTTAATTGTAAGAACTTATCGTTATATGACCTTCTATAAGCTACAAACACTTACATGGCAGGTAGACAAAGTTTCACAAGCAAATCTATTTATTATTGGTATGACAGTTACTTTTGGTATTTCAAGCTTCCAAATAAATTTAGATGTTGATTAGGGAAAAAATGTTTAATCAAAAAGAATATGCTAGGAATTGTGGATTGGATTTTTTTTTTTTCTGCTTAAACAAGTTATAGAAAAAGTCCATTTGAGTAATCCTGTCTTTTTTTTCTTCTCTTATTTTGTATTATATCCATCCATCCATTATCTGTTCACCCTTATACCTATTGGGCTCGGGAGTTTCTGGTGCCTATCTGCAGCTGGGTTTCGGGAGAGATGCGGGGTACACCCTGGACAGGTCACCAGTTCTTTTTATTTTATACTTTATCCTTTTGGAGAATGACTTGAACAGTGCTACATGATATCTTAAAGAAATAATTGGTGGAATACTGTTTTATAACCTAACCCTATAAACTTCTCTACTACCCTATCCCTGACCTATCTACTGTGTTTCTTGGTCTTGGTGATGCTGTTTGTTCTTTGACGAACATCCGACGGCTTTGGAGACGCCACAGAGTCACAGCTGAGATCAAATGATACACTTATTAATGGACTCTTGTTTCATAAACCTGCAAGGCAGCTGGTTTCACTTTCACTGTATTTAGTGATAGCAAAGGAAATTGATTATAAATGCAGTTTTCTTTTCAGAATTTTATTTGTGAAAAAGGTTTTAAAAAACATGCAACCTTTATTCATTTATAATGAACACAGACAGATCATGAAATTGAGTTTGGAAGCTTACCCTGACACTCCACAGCTGATGTCTCATAGTAGGTACCCACAGGGCAGTCTTTGAGACATGAACCTTTATAGAGCTTGGGACTGAAAGTTGAGCAGGTCTCACAGTCATCCGGCAGCGGTCCAGAACAGCTGCCACAGGTAGGGTGGCACTGAGTGCACAGGCCCTCCTCCATGTCCTCGTAATAACCCAAGGGACAGCTGGCCTTGCACACACCATTTAGCATCAAGTAGAGGAACGTACATTCTGTAAGATGGATACAAGATGAAAATCAGAACTGCACAAGATTTCGCTTTGGCAATAATCTAGAACAGATCTAATAACTCACTGAAACAGGTTCTGTCATCAGAGCAGACATCACAGTGGGGAGGACAACGTCTGCAGGTACCGTCATCTGCTGGGTACGCCCGCAGTGAACAGTTCAGTCTACATGTGCCGCTCTCCAAGTAGTGGCCATCAGGACAGGAGAGACACTGAGATTCGTTCTCATCACAAGTCCGGCAGGAGCTATCACAGGCCTCACATGAACCGTCTGGAGTCTCAAACAAACCCCTGAATGTAAAGCAAGGAAGACGTTTGACAGTGCATGTAGAGGAAACCACAGCTCATCTGTATTATTCACCATACTGCTTACTCTGGGCAATTTGACCAACACCGGCCTTTGTACAGGAAAAATGTGTTGCTGCCTTTTGGGCAGCTGATGCAATTATCACTGGTGTCTACGCAGTCCTCGCAGTTTGGCGAGCAGTCTTCGCACAGCCGGGTGGCAGGGTTCGCATAAGAGCCCGATGGACATTGTTCTACACAAGAACTCTCTAGGTCCAAGAAATACCCTGAGAAATTACACAAACGTAAACATGACGTGTAAAAATGTGCACGTTTGCAGTGTTCCAATCATGTTCCAACCTGCAGTGGTAGTGAACAGTTAATATTTGCACCTTGGAAACAGGAAGAACAATCCAGCGCCTGTGGGCCAAAGCAGGTCTTACAGGATGGGTCGCATGAGTGGCAACCACCAAATTTCCCTGAAAATTAAACACGTAAAAAAAATAAGTGCCAAACCTTTCAGTGTTTACGACCAGTAGGGGGCAGCATAGCCTGCTAAAACAGAGCGTGTTTTCCGAGCACAATTGATGACAAAGTGCAAGAAACCTGCAACAAATGATCTACTGAAAAATAAGAAATGCACCAAATCTATAAATATTTGCAGAAAACGTTTTTCCTGAAACTCATGACATCTATAACAGTGGTACCTCTTGCTCTTACATGCTTTTGTTTCTCTCTGTGTGTATGTTTGCATTTTGTTATTTTACCTGTAACCTTTGTATAGCATTTGCATAGATATACTTGTGTGTTCTTGTGCATTCATTTCCCCCCTTGTTCTCTGTATTGTTCAATGTAGATATATTAATAAAAAAAAATCAAATGATCTCATGATGTACAGATTTTCTAGGTTAAAAAATGAGAAAAAAATGCAATGATTCTTGAACAACAATTAAAGTTAAGTCAAATTCTGTATTTTGCTTGCAAAAAAGACACTGACTGGAGACGGTTTCGCAACTTAATTAGTCCAGTTTTGCCCAGACAGAATCAATGGACATATTTATGATGGCACACACCATTGGGAGACCTTTTGAAAGGTCTTCCGTTTGTGTTGAGCAAAGATTTTGGGAAAGACAGGAGAAAGTTTTCCACAGTATTCAGAGTAATAAAAGCACAGCGGAAAGGTCTGGAGCAGGCTTCCTGGAGGTGTCTAATTGGTGATGAAGGACCTTGGCCTGACAGGTAGCCAGCGGAGTTTCACAAGAACCTTTGCAGAAAAGCAATTATCACTGTGGCTCGGGACTAATCAGGCTTTTATAATGCGCACAGAAGCCATTCCTCATGAAAAGGCACATGATGTCCTGCTGGTAGTAAAAGGGCTGCAAAACCATCAGAGGCAAAGTCATCTGAACTGATTGAACAAAGACTAAATTGTCTGTGCTAACATTCGAAACTAACTATATTTAAGCAGCATCACATTTAGAGCTTCTTGTTAAATTACACATTCTTCTCAAAGTTTTCATATTTACCTACATTATAACCACAAGCTTTGATGTGTTTTTCTGCTATTTTAAATGACCAAAAAAACATAAAAGTAGTATGCAATTGTGCAGTTTATTGTAAGAAATAAAAATCGGAAAAGAGTGGCTATCATTTCAATGATAAATTGGTTTCAGAAGTCCTCTTATTAGGAAACAGAGTATACCTTTATGGAGTTTAATGTCAGTATGAACTTTAATACTAACCCGAAGGACAAAGAAATTTGCTTTTACTCACAGATCAATCAAGGATGTAAGATGTTATCTTTGTGATCTATGTTCAGTTTTGTGCTGATGTGGTAACTGGCTGTTCTGTTACTTTGCTCGCTCTGCCTCACTTTATTACTGGGAATCAAGTAATCACCGTACAGATCACCGGCATATAAAGTTACCCAATTCTAAAATGTCAAACACTTGCTGTTATTGAATATAAATAAAAATAAAGATCCACTGTAGATTAAAATGTAATTTATGGTGTTGGTTCTGTTCCAACAAATGAGAAATGAGTGCGCAAGAATTTAAACAGTTAGCTAAAAGAGCTTTGCAGTACATTTTTAAACTGATGCAATGTTCTGGCTGTAGCATAATATATTTATGTTTATTGTTGGCAAGAAAATTTAACTTCAGTTTTGGCTTTCCCAGAGGAAAATCTGGGAAGCCTGCATAATACTGGAAACTACTGTAGTGCTCACCTTCCAGGAAACTATTTCAAAGTTTGTGGAAAGACTTGAAAATAGTTACTCATAGACATTCTTCATCCAATCTGACTGGATGTCTCTGAGATGTCAGAGAAACATGAGCAGACCTTTAGATATCTTGCGTGTTGCCCAGCCCATGCGTACCCTCTTCCATCAGCTGTGCCATCTTTTCCTGCCCTATGCTGAACTGGGGACACTTCTCTGACTTTAGTCAGAAAATAGAATCCTGGTAGAAAATGTCAAAATACTAAACACTTCAGTTGGACGTTTGCACCACTTAATTCAAAATGGCTAAAGATTAGAAAATGTGTACCAACACAATAAAAGAAAATAGAAAGGAGTACAAATAAAACTTAGTCTAAGAACTGTACATGAAAATACATTTCAACTAGAAATTAAACATAAGCACCAATCAGTCATTTACTTAATCATATTCTACACACATTGATCTCCTCTGAAAGTCAAGATTTGGCTGTGTTACATATTTGTCATTAATTATGTCAAAGACTGTTGATTGATAATTAATGAAACTCTTGAAATTGTCAACACAAAGAAACGTACCAATAGGACACACTGGTTGGTACAAGGTCAGAACTGAAACTGATAAACTATTGACCTTGTGTTCTCTCTTTGTTTCACAAACTCTTCTGATTCACAGCATCTATGGTCCTGATTTATTTTTAGCAGCAATAAGCAGAATGTGATGGTGAAGCACCTTGATTACTGGACCCTTCTAATGCTACTTAACAACTCTCATCATCAAATCTGGACTCAAGCCTTTTTTTTTTCTTCAGCAAGCCACAGCTTACTTTCATCATTAGCCAAATTAAATTACGTTTTTTATCGAGTTTTCTACTTACCATCAAAATACTGGCCAAGTGGGCAGTTAACCTGGGGACACTGTCCATGCAGAGGCAGATTCCCACTCAGACAGAGGTCACAGTCTGTGGAATGAGGCCCATGACAGGTCTGGCAGGAGCTGTGGCAAAGCTGACAGCGCCACCCACTGGAGTCACTGAAGGTTTGCGATGGACACTGTTTTATACACTCCTCTCCTGAAAAAGCATAGAATAAAGTGACTTTATTCCAATAATAAAGTTCCTAACTAAACATAAATAGTACTAATGATACAATATATGAATACTTTGCAACTCAACTGCTTAAATAAAAAGAATATCAGTCATGTAGAAATTTGAGCAAGTATTTGCTACCTTTAGAGTTTTTTTGTTTGTGACAAAGCAAATGTTTTGTTTTTTTCTTTCCAGACAAAATGAACACAGTCAATAATGAAATTAATTTTTAATTATTAAGAAATAAAAAAAGGTCCAAGTGTCCTTCCTAGCAGGGCTGTTCCTTCAGTTTTTTTCTTGTCAGAAACTTTTTTCCATTTTGCACTTGCTATGCTATCTTGCAGATAAATTTGACAAATGAGCATGACAAAAAACATTTCAATTAACTATTTATTTAATAATGATTGAAATACAGATAACATATTATGGTTTTAAAACAGATTTAAATGTATGATTTAAAACATAAGATTCCTTTTCTTCCCCTCATCTTTGCTCCAGCTTTCTGAGGTCCCTCTGGTTCCCTCTGGTGGTCCCTAAGGGAGCACTGACCCCTAAACACTGATCTAAAACATTGAGCTGCGATACTAGGCAAAACATAAGAAATCTGGAAGAGAGTCACTAGTTTTTCACAGTATTGTATTTCCTCTTAAAAGAAAAAAAAGCAACAATCTAAATTTCTTGTTTACTTCTTCAGAGTTGTTTTTCTCCAAATTCCACTGGACATACAACCACAACAGCCATCTAAAGGCTGAATCTTGTGGTTACACATAATAAAATTATATATTCCAAATTATACATTCCAAAGCACACCCAGTTGTCCAATTGAACAAAGTGACAGAACACTTGCTCATCTTTATTAATATTAAACCTTTTTTCTCCTCGTTTTTTTTTTCTACAATAAGTCTCAAAGCTTATTGCTGTTAGAGAACAGCGCGATGCTAATTCATTCTTTGCATAAACCATACATTTGCATTTCTTTTTTCCCAGATTTGCTGACATTCACCTGATTTGCAAACCAAATGAAGACTCAGGAGTGCCATTATTTGTTTATAATAAGGATAAATGCTCAGAGACACAAACTAAACCAAGCTTTTTTCAATAATAAGAACGGTCAGGATCTGTCACTTACACTTCACTTTCATTTTTTAAAATAAAGGAGTGAAGGAAATATATATGCTTTTGCAATTGTACCGTTCAGGAAGTAACCCGGCTGACAGGCGAGACAGCGGGTGTTGGTGCTGCAGTCCTCACATGGCGCTGGACAGGACAGACAGACTCCACTGACGTGGTCCTCGTAGGTGCTCCGAGGGCAGTGTCTGCGGCATTTCTGTCTGAAACTGTAAGAAATGGTTCATTGAAATACCACCAAATGCCATTCCCAATATTCATTTGCATCCAATAGACTAAAAATCCATAATAATTAGAAAATTAATTGTCTCGCTCCAAGTATTCGTAATTGGTTAATGACCGTTTGACTTTTAACTGTCATGCTTTTTAAACAAGATGAAGTTTCTTCTTCTTTTTTTCCTTGTCTCTTTTGCATTGGTGAAAGTGCAGGAAAAAATAGGCCATGGAAAACAGCTGCTGTTTTCAAAATGATAAAGATGACTGTTGTTGCAAGCAGCTACTGCACACTCAACTTTGAGACTAGATGAATTGGAAACCAGGGACCTGAACATGCCCTGTGTCAGTCCATGGAACACCTGCAGCTGCATTGTTAACTTCAATGCACTGCTCCTTCAAAAGCTTTATTCATTCAAACAATAGTATGACAGCTCAGAAAGAAGAGCAGAAACTAAAAAATGGCTTCTCATTCTGTTCTCTGTGAGCTTGTTTATTACCTTGCAATTTTAAGCTTAAAAATTGCAACATAAATTTGTAATTTTTAAGCAAATTTAAATTAAACTTAGAAAGATTTGCAAATAATTTAAAACTGGCCACTGCTCAGTTTATAAAGGTAAATCAGTTTGAAGTCATTTTACTGGGATGTCTTTGAACTTCGGGGAGGGACTTATGTTTTCTTCAGCTATGAACTATAGAGTAAGTCAGAACACCCCTCCTCCATCTGTCTCTACACAGTCACAGTCTGGCAAAACAAAAACTGTTACACTTTGGCCATGTTTACGACAAATTACAAATGTGATGGCTTGGGAATTATTTCCAGACACAAAAAACATTGATAGTTTTTTAAACTAAAGGAGCAACACCCATCCATTTTATTGAGGTAGGGTTAGAGCTAGGTGATAAAATTCAAAATGATAGAAAAATTTAAATTTTACAGTGTGTCCGTCTATAAAAATGCAAAAGGCATGAATGTATAATACTTTTTGAATTCAAGCAATCCTTTGGATTTTTTAATTTATTTATTTTTTTTTTTTTTGCGTGCATGGAAGGATCGGAATAACTGTTGCTTTTCTATGTTAAGTAAAACTAATTAGCTCATATGCAGCCCTCGCCTAATAATTATTCCCCATCTTTTGTAATAGAACCCCCTCTTGCTGGCTGTTTTGACAAGTCCCTCCATTTCAGAATATGACCACTGACAGTCCAAGCTGCACTTCCAACTGCGTTGCTGTGGGTTTGGTGATAAGATGTGGTATCTGTTTGAGGAAGAACAGCTGGAGATGCCACACCACATCCATCAGCTCACTCACAATAGCTGCAGATGGAGACCAAAGGTCTGTCTCAACGCTAGGAGAAGATGCTCTGCTTGGGAATCTGTGGGATGTTTAAGAAACCTTCTGTGCAAATATTAGCCTATGCATTCCGAGAGAGCACATTAGCAATCCCTTGAAACTTTCATTTAAGTCTCTTACCACATGATTTTGTTGCTAACTGGTGAAATTAGACTTTAGCTTGTGCATATTTTTAAATAAAATTTCCTAAATGAATGGTTTAAGTTACATTCTGAATGGAGCACAGACATTTTCCAGTTTAGCTGCACCTTGTTGGCGCCTAAGGGAGAAAGATAAATGCCAACAAATACCAAGCATCCATCATGCTGAGATTTTGTCCAACAGCAAGTCTTTTATTGACACAAGCCCCAGGGATTCATAGTTACACCAAAACTGTCCACCTTCAAAACCTTTAACATTTTTACTTTACGACTGAAAGCAGAAACTCAAATATCGCTAGCTCTTAAAGCACCGGGAACTGTCACAATCTATCCCAGAGAGGTGGCTCCTTCACTTTATGATTGACTCAGTTTATTGGGTTTTTTTTATTGGTTTGTGCTACCCATGGTAGATGCAGTAATAATTGTGGCTACAGGAATTACTGAGACGGTCTGTCATTTTACATTTTTAAAGTCATTAGTCTGACTCAGCTACATGCACTGAGGAAGACTGAGTATCTCTGTGAACCTGTGAAAGGAGGTCAGTGAAGAATTTCGTTTAAGACATAATCTCCCGTTATTCACACAAGCAGTTGGTCAAGTCTGGTATTCATGTATTTGTTTCTCTGTGTTCTACTCCTCTTCTTCATAACATGCTCTGTTAGGTCTCTTCTAAGCTCAAACTGAGTTTCAGGTAACAGCTTGACTGAAAATGGAAGGTAACCTGACTCACATCATACCAGGAGGCCTGAACTCGGGGGAGAAGTACACAATTGGTGTTCTGTTCAAGCTCTTAAACCAGTTTCTCTCACTGGGTCTAAGTGATAAGTTGCTGTAAACAGAAATCCAGGCAAAGTGTTCCTGTGATATAAAGAAGGCAATTCAACTGAAGTGTTCAGAAAATGGTATGGAATGCACATACCATTTACAGAGGCTAGGCTATATTTTTTAAACAAAACAATAAGATTTAAGAGTAAGAAGAAGTTGCTGCGTTTGAATCCAGTCTGCTCAGTTAGCTGCTCAGAGGAGTTTATGGGTTTGCACATTCTCCTCATGCATGCATAGGTTCTCTGGTTACTTCAGCTTCCTTCAATTGTGGAAAACCACACAAATAAGGACAACTGTCCACTGTAAATTAGCGCTAGATGTTTTTGTGTGCATGCAGAATTGTTTTTCAGCGCTGGGAAAGACTGGCCACCTGCCCAGAATGTCCCCAGCCTCTCACCCACTGACTGCCCCCTTGTGATCCTGCTTGTCTTCAGTGGTCACTGTTGGAGTGAACCCCAGACATGTCACTAGTCCAACACAAAGCAACACAGAGACACACAGGACAAACAATCACAGATGCACACACTCACTCACTCAGTGAAAACAATTAAATTGCCATGCATAATTTTTGGCAGTTGGAGGAAGAGTACTAATAGAAAACATATGAATGTGGAGAACATGCAAATCCAGGACATTTTTATTCCAAAGCAACATGATTAACAACTCCAACAGCATGCATCCCTAAGCTAAACATCTTAGAGCAAAACACAGTGGATTGCAAAAGTATTCATGCCCCATTCAATTCAACAAATTTAATGTATTTCATTAGGATTATGTGACAGCTGTTTGTAGTCTAAACATTTTTTCATTCTTTGTAATAAAATCAAATTTGTTTATCAAACATGAAACATTTACAAATTGAGTTGAAATTTGTAAGTTATAAGGTAAGAATTATTTATTTTATTAGTTTTTCTTAGTTTTAGATCTAAGAATTAAAAAAAAACATGTAGAAGGGATAAAAAGAACTTGGGTAATTTCCATATTTATGAAATAGAAAAAAAAATCTGGACTCAACACAAAGTAGCTCGTGACATTAATGTGACACTTGCTTTTTATGTTTCTTTTTTTTTTTCTTTTTTTTTACAAAATCAAATTAAAAATACTTCCTTCTGCATTATGTAATTTAACCAGTGTGTATTTTATTTTTAACATATATACAACTTTTCTGTGGGGCGTCTGATCGGATTTATTAAGGAATATTTTTGAAGACGGGACAATTTTTTTAATGTGGTGACTTCACAAATATGACCTTTATGAGAGAGTGACAAGAAGAAAGTTATTACTCCATTGTTCCACTCACTCTTTTTCAAACATTAAGCTGTAAAAAAAAATGCAAACATGTAAGCGATGAAAATTCTACTTATTGAATGAAAACGGTGAAGGAAGATAAAAGACTCACAGAAAGTAACCTTGAACGCAGCTGCTGCAAATCTCAGGGTCTTCTCAGTACAAAGGAGAAAAGGGGATTAATTAGAATTCATAAGAAGAGGCAAACAGTACTTTCTACCAAAATCATCACCCCTTATGTAAGAATACTTTTTACATGAGGGGTAAGAGAATGGGGCTCAAACAAAAAAAAGTCTGTTTACCTGTAGAACACGTTTTGCAGGCCATTTCACAGTTGATGCACTCTCCTGTATCAGGGTCCAGCATCTGTCCTGAAACACATAAAACCAGCAAAAATAAAGTTGTTTCTATCGAGGTACAGCCTACACACTGACTCTGCTTCACCTTTTTACCTGTGCCACACAGTGCTGGTTGGCAGACCCCATTCTGAAGTTTGTAGTGTTCCCGGCATTTGGCACACAAATTGCCATCTGTGCAGAGTTCACAATTGGCTATGCAGGGCAGGCAGACATAGTGACCCCTGTCAGGGTAAAATCCCCTGGGGCAGTGCGTCCGGCAGCGACCTTGGTGCAGGAAACGCTCCTGTCCGTCTTCATCTGTGGAGGAAGAGGAAAATGCTTAACCTACAGCCTTGAAGCCGATATTGTGTTATTATTGCTAATAAAGATGCATAAATCATTGTGTTTCTGACAATAAATGAAGGCATAAATGCAACTCAAAGTATAAAAGATAGATGACACAGCACAGCTGCTCCAGAGATGTTCAGTATTTGTCACTAAAACAGATGGAAAGGCTCACAGAGCAAATCAGTGTGAATGATTAAGAACCAGGACGTTCAGGGAATCAATCACATGAGTAATAAAAGGGGATAACAGGAGCATGCAATGACTGCATCTCAAACGTATTGACCACAGCTAACAGATCGCTGCAGAGAGACCGATTGGTGATGCTTCAAATGAGAGCAATAAGGCTCAGAGCCTCATTCAGAGGCTTATTATTGTCCCCAGGGGGAAAATAAGTATTTTGCACACAAGTAATTTTATTTCAGTCAATATATTTTTTACGGTCCTATTGACATAAAATTCGCAACAGATGGCAGTACTCCAAATAAGCACAGAGATAGGAACCAAAACAAAATAGTCCATGGATCAAGTTTTGTGTCGCAGAATGGACAGGTAAAGGGAATAGGTATTGAACATGTCATGAAAAGAAGTCACAAAAAGATATGGAACACCAAAAATAACTAAGATCTGTCCGTAATTGGAATTAAATGCAACTTCTTGTCAGTGCAAATTCACATAAACTGTTTTAATCATAATGGACTATGAAAAGTCTCCTCTTTACAAAGCTATGTCTCAAGTGCATATCATAATGGGTTTTCCAAAGAGCTCTTTTTAGTCCTCCTCAACCTCATTGTTACAAAATATAGTAGATGTACTGTTATAAACATGTTGTGTTCCCAAATTTCTGGATGCTCTATTGAGAACATAATCAATGAAGGGGGAAAAAAACTGTTTCTTTTTAAAACAGTCATGACCAAGTGTTTCTTATGTTAGACTGCAGAATCAACCAACACCCAAAAGTAATGCAAAGAGCTTCAAAAAAATCTGAAATTAGCTGGCACTGTTTGATCCTGAAAACAATACTAAGTAATACTTTCAACTGCCCTAACCATTAAGCAAAGAAAAACCATCTAAAAGCCTGTTTGAAATTTGTTCCTGACAGCTTGGATAAAAAGTGAAATGCTGGCAGAATTTGAGCCAAAGTATACCACAGTATGTCATTAGATGTCACTGCACACCAGGAACAATGGCACCCCAAAATCCCCTTAAACCTTTCTAGCAGCAGAGAAATTTACTTAAGTACTAGCAGACTTAAGTAATTGAATAAAGGGATGGAACAGTTTATTATCTTGATATTGATTTCTTTAATAAGCCAGTGATCCCAAACATAGAGCCAATAAAATTGAAAAAAAAAAAACTCTCCAAACATTGACCCTTTCAGCCACTGAACATAAATTCTATGGAAAGAACTGAACGTCAATGTGCATGGAAAAGGCCATCCTTAAAGATTTTAACAGTTTCTGGGCAGGAGCTGATGAAAATCACACCTGCACAATGCATCCAACACACTATACAGCAAAGGCAGGAGTCATTAAAAAAATGGTTTTCTTGTGAAGAACTGAATAATTTCAATTTAAATTTTTGTTCAGTAGTTATTTCTTGTGAAAATTACTTGAGTTGTGACTGACATCTGGAGTGAATTTCACATTAGTACCTTCTTCAGAAATATATTTACCAAAAAAAGTCCTAATGAGTTTAATGTTCATTTTTCACACTGCATTGGGCCTGTAGCAGCACCTGTCAGTCATAATTGTTTTTTATCCCCACTGTTTTCCTCATCAAATGCATATTTTTAACAGAAAAAGTCACAAGAATCCTACTTTTAGTCAATACAACAGTGTATATTTCCCTTTCGATTAACAAAGGCTTCATTGTGAGATGGTCAAATTACACTCTGAAAAGTAGACAGTGAAATGACTGTAAGTGAAATGTAGGTGCTATTTCACCTTTTTTTCCCCTTAGGTAGAAACATCAACAACTTTTATGGTTTTTCTTTGAATGTTTAACAAGAGGGAAGGATAGACCATGTCCCTTCTCCAACACAAAGCACTCAGCTTTGTTAACCATTAAATAGTCCCTCTTTGAAAAAATAGAAGAAGTCGGATTGTTGAACTTGGGTGGCATTCAGAGGACAAAAGACAAAACAGAAACAAGGGGGGGAATGAAAAGTCTACATTCTTTGATATATCGCGACTTTAAATAATGAGATCTTTAAATAGGGTAAAGGTGAACCATAGAAAAGTGGCTCTGGGGGCAATGAACAAGTTTAACCCTCATCTTTCGTTTGACAAAGCCATCAGTTTGACGCTAATTCCCAGTTCAGGCAATTTAAGAAAAATCGCTCACTCACAAACTCCACAGGTAACGCAGTCAAACAGCTCGTGTCCGTCGCACTCGGAGCAGGTGGGATGACACAGGACGCACTGGTTTTTAAGCAGAAACTGCCCGCTCGGGCAAGACGACGAGGGTTTACATCCAATAAATCCAGGGCACGAAAAGAAGCAGAGGCAGAGGACGGTGAGCGCGGACATGGAGCTCATGGCTGTGCTCGAGTACTACGAGTGAAAGTGGGGGAAAGCGGCGAAGAGGGAGGTCTGAGAGAGACGCAATGTCCGCGCTGCAGGTGCGCTGGCTGTCTGATGGATGCGTGTGGATGTGCGTGTGGGTGTGTGCGCGTGGCCCACACAGAAATAACTTGCTGGACCAGTTGATAAGTGACGCATCAAGAGAATGAGAAGTGACCGTGGTGAGCATTTCATCAATGATCTCGAGAGAACATCAGTTTTAGAGCAAAGCACCTGTTTTAGAAACACGAGTCATAAATTGCAGAAAGTTTCAGGGACACGCACTTAATGTGACATCAAAAATGTTATATTTTACATCAGGAAAGGATAATCTGAGTTAATACAAAAATCACTTTGCAAGCAGTTAGTTCATTTAATTATTTCAGTTGAGGAGGAAAAGCTGTTCAAAACAATCTTTCCCTGCGTGAAAAAGGAGTCTATCACTCCTCCCTCCCCTCCAAACATTACACACACATAGGTTTGATATATTTCTGAATATTAAAGCTAGCACATGTTTTACTGGAAACACCTGTATTAAAGCTTATATCAGTCTTATTTCATAAAAAAAAAATATAACGGTCTCAAATTTATCATAGATCTGAAGAGGAAATTATCTATATGGGAGTCTAAATTGTATCAAAACAAACTAGTTGATTGTACTTTAAAATAGGCCTATCTTCTTTTCCAGAAAAAAAAAACATCTTCTGCAAATATTTAGAAGATTGAAAGATGTATTGAAATATCTTTCAATTTGCAGTTGAAAGTCTGAATATTCAGTCTTTAGTCGTATATTTTGCATCTAGTAACGAAGAGTTCAAATTAACATTTGAATTATGAGCAATCAAGCTATAGTAATTATTAATAAGTAATCAAATACAAAGATGAAATCTGAGTAGACAAATAAATGTTCAGGTTTGCTCATAAAAATGTAACCTTATTTCCCTCAATTTCTTTCTGGATCAGTAAAATTAGCAAGAACTTAATTTATACAAAATAAATAAATAAAGTCAGTTGCATGCACAAGTTTAAATGTCATCTTATTGGTCTTAGGGAAAGTTTGGAAGAATTCATGAAAGAGATCTCAACTTATGGAGTGGAGGTTAACCAGAAAACATTATTAAATGACAGGTCATGGAAGTACCTCCATTTTGGGTTAAATGTTGTTTACGTTCTCAAAACCAGCTCAGGCTTCTGCTCTGGGTTGCTTGTCCTTGTGTGAAGAAAAAATATTGTCAGCAGTGACTCACGCTGGTGCTGCCTGCCCGGGTGGTTTACTCTGATGCTGGAATGCTGCTCCACTCTTGAAATGTAGAAATGTCAGCATCTCAGAAAATCTATCTCGCTGAAAGATTCAAAACATTCGAGTGAACAAAAAAACATTAGAACCAAGTTTTAAATAAACGGATCAGACTTGTTGTAGACGCAGTTGTTAGCTGGTGTCTCTCACACTGAGTCACTGACTCACACAGCTTAAACTTTTCCCTACATTCATATCTGTTAGCCACTTGGAAAAATTGATTCCACCATTTTTCTGAAGAGCATTTGTTTACATTCTGACAGAGGAAGAGTGTTCCAAAATAAATAATAAGCATATCATTCTTTTTGTATGCAGAAGTCAAGGACTCAGAGTGATGTGAAATATTCTTATTTTGGGAAAAGGACAAGGTTATATATACGACGTTGAGATTTTTTACTTATAGGTACACAACAGATTAAGAGAATTCACCTTTTACAAACTGTTTTTCATACCTTCTTCATACTCATTTGGACAATCTCAAAAGCATGCAGTAGAATCAAAAAATTATTTAGTTTAATCTGAAATAACCTGAAGGTGTTTTTGAACAGCTTTAGTCAGTTAAGTGAAGAGTTTACAGATTCAACAAACTGAATGACGAGGCATTTTAATCAGACTAAAAGTACTCTTTGAAAGTAACATTTAATCAGTTAGTAAGAATACCTCCATCTAGTCCACATTCCTTTATTTATTTGGGCTGATATTATCTTCTAATCTTTTAAGAAATGTGTTTTCATTAGCTATAAACTGAAAATCATCAAAATTAACTAAAATAAAGGCTTGCAAACCTCAATCCAAGTGTAATTAATCTATATAATGTGTTTCATTCTGAAAATAATTATAGAGCCATTTCCAAGGCTTTGGGAGTAAAGCACAGTGAAGGCCACTTCACAAATGTAATTATATTGGGGATAAACCTTAACAGGGGTGGCCACCCTACCAAAATTACCCAGTAACTCAACCAGGAGTCACAAAATAAAGCAGAATAACATTAAAGGTACTGTGAGACTCATGTACCTCATCAGATGAGATCATATTTCCTGATTCAACAGTAAGAAAGATTCTTTTGTTTGTTTGTTTTATTTTGTTTGATGAGATGAGTCATTTGAGTATATATAAAAAAAATTCAAAACAGGAAAAACATTTTTGAAGGGAAACTAATAACTAACTTTGTCCTCTTCCAAACCAGTTTGGTGTGTTTTTGTGTTTATTGTCCTGTTGAAACGTCCTTTTCTGACAAAGTTTCAACTATCTGTTGATGTGAGTTGAAGTAACTGAAGTAGGGACTGTTTCTTCATTACACATCATTAAGATGTCGATCTTTTTTAAAATCCATGTGAGTGGCTCCAAATTTCAGTCGAAGATAACATTACAGATTTTTTACACAATTAGTAAAACAGACAAAGGAGCTGGGAATTTTGATGAAGCTTCACCAAGACAGAAATTGAGGACAAAATAAAGCAGAAACAGAAACTTCTGCAGCACATGAGTCTGGATTTGAACCCCTTACTTGTAGAAACTAATTTTTTTCATGAGCTTAAATCTCTTCTGTCACTGAAGCCTTTTTGCTTACTTCTACAAACAATGTTTTGCTGTTACAATAAAAAATGTTGGATTAAAGAAGCGAGACAAATATATACATGAACTTGTAAAACTATATCAGGAACAAGATTTTTTTTTTAATAACACTAAACAGTATTTTTTATTTTGAAAAAAATTACTTCATACATAAGATCTATGAATTAAATGTGTGGCCATCTTTAATTAATTATTTTGTGGTTTTCTTTATAGTATTAATATTAATGCTTGTACTTTATTTTATTATTATTATTATTATTATTATTATTATTATTATTATTATTATTATTGTAAAATAAAAAGACTAAAAACGCGAATTTAAGGCAAAACAAAACAAAAAACTTCAACGCCCTGATTTGTTTACATATTTTTGTTCAGAGACAGCGACACCTTGCGGAGCCCCCGTGGAGGTGCCGCCGGGGTCACTCGCGGACGTCACGGCGCTTGCGGAGGAGGCGCGGCTTGGTTCTGCTGCAGCGGAGAAACATGACATGGGGATGAGCAAGAGAGAGAGAGAGAGAGCGAGGCAGGGAGGCAGACAGGCAGGGAGGGAGTGAGAGAGTGAGTGAGACAGCCTGATTGGAATAAACGGCTCGTCAGAGGTCTGGGCCGAAAACGTAATGATGGGGAGCAATGACTGAAAAGGCAACGGTAAGACGGCTTGAGCCGATTTCATTTGTTCTGTCACAAAATCCTCACGTTATGCGCACGACTGAACGATCCGTGGCTCATTTGCTGTTAAAAACAAAAGGCTGCACACTGCAGACAGGTGCACCTGTCTTTATGCGAGTACGTGCTTCGATGAAATCAACTTCAGGTTCCGTGCGCTTGGCTTTTCTTTCAGCTCGAAGGCAGACACACATTGAGGCCCCGAAAAACCTCATCGGCTCTTTGGGATGAGACTCCAACCGGGCTGATGGGAGTAAAACGCCGTACAAACATGCATCTGCATGCTTAGTCACAGACCTTTGTCATGGAGAACCATATAGTAGCGATGTATTACAGCCTAATTATGAGACTAACGGGTGGATTGTGTGATGACAGCAGATCATTAAAATGTCTAATTTTAAGGTGTGCATCCATTGAGATATTATTGTAACATTATTTGATATTTGGAGATATTGGCTATTGAAAATCTGTATTTATTTAGGCCAGATTGCTCTACGTGTTGATGGTGAAGAAAAGCATCAAGTCCCACTTTAAGATACACATTATGAAATACAGGAAGGACACCACTGTCTGCTTTTACATTACTGTAGGTCTTGTTCACAATATCTACCGATGCCTGCCTGTGAAGATAGTGAGGCCACAGATTCACTGCTGTGGTATTTTTAAACCCTACTCATGTTCCCTGACAAAGACCTACATAATAACACTGAGCTGCTTCACATTTCTCCTACCTCAATTAAAGGATGATGACAATTTTTTTATTTTATTTTTTTTAGCATCAGGTCATATCAACTCTACAACTCCTTCCCATCATGTCTGATCGCTTCGGTCTGATTCGTAAGACAGGCAGCTGACAGCAGGTAGCTCAGATAGTTGGTAGGTAGAGCTACTACCGCAGGCCCCAGGGCTGCTGGGCCGAGCAAGGCCAACGTCAGCCCTGTGGAGGCTTTGGGTGCAGCAGGGCACTGGGGACAGGGCGCCTGGCACCTGATCAGTTGCCACAGTGAATTCTGTTTTCAGTCTCTGGCATTCAGCAGAGCCAGAGACGACTATCGTTGTTGTTGAATCTGGTCGGGCTTTCATGTCTCTGAGGCAGTGCTGCTTTATCAAATCGTTCCTGGACTGATCCAAAATGACAGGCGCTTGTAGCATCTGTGTCGACCACGCACATCAAATACCCGAGCGGAGATATACCTCCATTAGATAAGAATTGACTGTGTTATTAACATGACACTTGAAGTTTGAACTGTGAATAGCTTTTTTTTTTTTTCCCTGGTCTCATTATTTATTATTTGCTCTGGTCCAGTCCACCTTTGCATCAAATGATTTACTTAATTCCAACCAAAGTGTTGTCAGATTGTTTCTCCCGACTCATTTTGCATCAAAAACAAACAAAAAGAAATGACTCCAGATACTTAAAACAGTGTGCTTCTGTCTGTTCCAGAAGATTAGTATGTTTTAGGAATAATGGAACTAAATATTCATAGATATTCATGTCCAACTTGTCAATTATTCTA